GGCTACTGCACTTGAAACTAGAAAGGATTAAAAAATAACAGCAAAAGTGATTAAATAGAAAAACAAATCATTCCAGGAAAGATGAAGTCTTCTGGAGAAAAGGCTTTTACTAAAGTGCTACTTTTTAGTTAAATAGTGCCAAACACTGTCCTATGTGATGAGGGGCACAAAGCAAGAAAAATGCAGATCCTGCGCTGAGAGAGACTACAGTATAACGAGGGGCACGGTATTAACGAAACACCTACAGACGACCGGATGACATTTTCAAGTCAACTGAATACGATCCGGTTTCATTAACCTCACCCTCAGAGACCTTTCTCTTAGCCATCTTAATCAGGAAGAGTAGCAGTACCACACTGGTTTAGTTCTTCGTGGTTTTCCAGATGCTTTACTAGTACGTGACCCTCGTGATGACAGGACTGAAACCACGACCCCATCACTAAGAACTCCTCGAGGTAGGTCCCCTTCCGAGCTCATCGACATCCTCAATGTGGTAGTTCAAACTGGTTGTTAGAATGCCCTGGAGAGCTATTAAAACACACCGGGCGCACCCCCGCAGAGCCTACGCTAACTGCGTAGAAGACAAGAGGCAGTGGTCCCTTCATAACCCCCCAGATAATTCTGATACACTGCGGCCAGGGCTGAAAACTGCTGCCCAGGTACTTCTCTTTCTCTCACTCCTTCCCCCTTTTCCTCTCCCTGTATCTGTTAATTATCTGTTAATTTTATTTTCTGGTGGTACTGGGGTAATAGCTCACAGAACTGCTCAGCTATTTCATCAAATCTAAGACACCATCATTTGTAACAGTCCCCCTTATTTTATTATGTGTCACTAAGAAAGACAAAATTCTGCCAGGAAACTTTTATAAGCCAATAATTTTGACACAGAGCCTGAATGACTTAACATTTCAGAAATGTGAAACGTCAAAAACTATGCAGTATGAGAGTTCTCCGTTCCTAGTTCAGTCACTGTGCTCTGTGAGTGAGAAACGGCGTTTGCACCTGTGAACCATCACATTCCATCCCCTCCCTCTCCTCCACGGCATCTCATCACTAAAGACACAAGAGGGTCTAAGAGGACAGTGGCAGGGGACAGCATCTGGGAGCAGAGAACCTTTGGGCCCTGGTTTCAAATCTGTATTACTTTCACAAGTAATGTCCCTCATGTTTAGATCGTAGATAATAGTTATTAACTTATAACATCTCTTTCCCAAAGAGAAGGCAAAATTCTGTTTGGTCAAATAGCATTAAAAAATGAGTTCTACACAATAATACAATTTCAGTGTTCATTTGATGGCTCACGCAAATGCTTTGCTCATGTGGTTACAATGAAATTTTCCAGTGAATAATAATGCATAGGCTACACTTCAAAAAAAGGAAAACTTGCTTTAAAAAACTTAAATGACTTCTGCTTATAGGATTATAAAACAGAGGTTTTCCTGAAACACTCACCTCCCAAAGCACATTTAAAATATGAGTTAATATCATTACTAAGTTGTTTTCAAGGTTACCTCTGTAATGAAAAGCAATGAAATGATGGAATTTTGCCTGAACTTCTCATTCAGTATGTCATTTTTATTTGTGCTCCCTTTGATACATAGTACATTATTCATTCCTACACTCCTGAAACAAGGCTTAAAATTTGGCAGATGCAGCAAAGATTCTGGGCTTCTCTGAAGACCCAGTTCAACACTGCAGAACATTTGCAAGTGTATCATCTGGCTGGAATTACCCAACCACATGGCCTCCCGGCCAGAGGTTACAGCCAACGATCCCAGGATGACACAAGCACTCTGCATAGATGGTTGGACAGGCTCCATAAGGTGGTGGGTGAGGGTGGGGGGCGAGGGATGCACTTGGGTTAGTCCAAGCCTGGTACCAAACAACATCTAATGCAAACAAAATTTCTATTTCAAAACAAAACAAAAGTTTGGACATTCAGGGAATTAGATTAAAACGGAAAAATTCTTGATTCCTGAAATATGTTAATACATTATACTGTGCAATTTATTTTTATTCTTTAACACAGAAAAAGCACTGAAGTAAAATAGTCGTAGCTGAATATCAAAATGACTGTTTCTCACATTCAGTCACGGTAATGACGGTGACGTCACTTCCCATCGGGGTTGCTGGGTAAGACGGGGAACACCTCCCACTGGCCTGGAACGCAGACAGTGGAGATGAGCATCACCACGTGCTGGGAGGTGTGCTAGAGTCTGGTTAGGATTCTGGGCCTAACCGACGGACACACTCATTCCAAGGACCTGACAATGGCTTTGTCTAAATCCTCAAGTTGGCTAACGGCCTCTTACAAACATGACTGCAGACGTCGGAGGGAGGTGATCTAACTCTAATAATGGGCAAAGGTGCTGAGCAGAAAACTGGGCACCCACTTTAAAAAAAAAAAAAAAACCTTTCTGCCAGCAAAGCAGATGAAACCCTCAAGTCTAGTGGATCTAAGCGAGCTCATCTTTGACGTGTGGGTTAAGCTCTTCTGCTGAAACTACTGAACTGATTAATTTCGGCTTGTATCTCCGGTGAGGCAGAGAAACGCAGTCACATAAAGCGGGGATGTTCCCCCGGGCGCCGACACTAAAGCATCACCTCCACAGTGAGGGCTGTGTGGACCTTACTGACACTCCCCTCACCCTGCAAGCAGGTAAATGTGAATTCAGAACAGACTAAAAGCAGACAAGCTGGCGCTCCCCGAGGGGGCACGTGGACCAGGTCAGGCAGCGATGATCAACGACCCCTGAAACTTCTGTAGCGAGGATGACATGGGGTGATGGGGTGAGGTGGGGCCTACTGGGTGCCATCTTTCTGAAGACTGCAAATGGGGCAACAGGACACAAAAGAAAAGTCTTATGGATTCAGATAAGCTTCTAGCCACTAAGACCAGGCCACAGGTGGCAAACAAATCGCACGCCAGGTCTGCGGAAGCGAAGAGCACCAGCGTGAAGTGTAGAGAGAGTGATGATGATCAGGGTCAGAGGCACATGACGGGGTGGTTTGGTCCGTCCAGCCAAGCGACAGAAACAAAGAACAAGCACCAGTAGTTCTAAAAACCAAGCAGCAGAAGCGAGAGGTGAGCAAGTCAGCAAAGGCTGGCGGCCGTGTGTGGCGGCCGGAGGTGGGGGGCAGTCACGGTCCGGCAGCCCCATCCACCTGCCCGCCGCGGGAGCCCACCGCCCGGGGCTCAGCTCTGTGCCCATGAACACACGAGCAGTGTCTACCGCCACCCCGTGGTCATCCTCTACACACTGTGTCCCGTGAAGTTCATTTAAAGAGGACTTTACCTATAAACGAACTGTTACATGCTTTGATTTTGTCATTATATGGTCTACTCGTGTGTATCGACGAGTAACATAAGAATCCCATGAAAACATTTTCAAGTTGTACCAAAAAAAAAAATCTTCACCACTGTGAAGTAGTTCTTAAAAAGTCATATCCCTAGAAGAGACAGAACTGCAAAAAAGCAAAGGCAACACACACACACACACACACACACACACACACACGAAACTGTGTGACTGTGACGGCAGTCACACGTGGTGCAGGACTGGGAGGGAGCTTCAGTCCAAGTGTTGCCCTTGAGCAAACTCAAGTTCTAGATAAAACATTGACATTTCTCTAGAATGCAGCTTCATGTTGGGTAAAATGAAGAGGCTGAATTTCATGGTCTCTAGACAAAAATTCAGCCCTAAAAAATGTATACCTTAGATTTCTAGTTTGATTTCAATGAACTTTTAATAAATCTCCATGACACATAAATGTTAAATACAAAATCTACTATAATTAAGAAGATAATTTTTTTATATCTGAAAAAAATCTAACAAGGTTTACAGAAAATATGAGGTAGCATTTTTAGAAAAACCTGCTCCAATATTTCTATCAACATAGTTGAATAATTTTTAAAAACCTTTAATGTAAAAAATATATATAAATCAGCTTAATATAAAATCTAGTCTAATTGAGAACAATGTAGTTTTCCCAGACTAATTTGGCAGACGGACCAGGGAAATAATAGTGTACTGGGGACATGTTCACATTGCTGAGACTTTAAATTCTAGAATTGAAAGCTCAGATCACTAAAACGCTTTGGAAGGCAAGTTATAGGGGGAAGAAGGAAAAAAAAAAGGGGGAAAACACCATACACACATTTTTTTCAGCTCCCACAGTTAAAAATAAAAAGCTTAGGTTTGGTTCTTTCTCTGATCCTTTGTGAACACTGAAAACAACAACAAAAAACCAACTAACTTTCCGATGACACCATTTTATAGTAGGTATTTTGACTCTCTTTTATCTTCCCAAACACACACACACACACACACACACACACACACACACACGTACACGTACACACACACACACATGTACACACACGTACAGACACGAGAGTTATATTTTCTACATTAGTCCAAGTATTTTGCTCAGCACTGAAACAGGTAGAGTGAGGCAAGCTTATGAATTTTCCATAGAATATCTTAACCCCCCCCTCCAAAAAAATTACTGCAAAGGCTGTATATTTGATCTTTTACCTTTAGGGTAAAAAAAAAAAAAAAATAGCAGAACCTTTTGTTAAAGGAAATTAAGAAAACGTCTTCTCACTTACTAAAGATCCCCAAATCAGAACCACATGCAAATCCAATTAGACTCAAGTGCATGTCACAAATAACAGGTTTAAATATTCTCGGTTGGGTTTCCAAAGTGACTACACCACTGTGAAATTTGTGACTTTTTATAGGAGAAAATTCTATACTAGTGCCTTTTTCTTTAGGTTTCCTATTTACAATTTACTTTTTAAAATGACACTAATTCGATATACATTATTCTCCAAAAGATGACAGTGTTATTCAGTATTAAGTAACAACTTAACAGACATTTAGAAATGGATAAAAACTCACACTTAGCTGGAGAATTAAACATCTGTAATTCCTTAACTGCCAAGAGGAAATTCAATTTATTCTGCGTAACTTTTATCACGTCAAAGAGTGCACATGAAAATCTTTTCACAACGAATTCCTTCCCTGACACAGTTAAATGCAAATTATCCACCCCTCCCCTCTCCGTCTTACTCCAGAAAGCTCCTGCATACACAGCTGAAACGCCACCTACTGCAAAGCCCAGGGGACAGAGCAGGCGACGCTGCCAGCATTTCCATTCCATCACCGGGCTGGAGCTGAAGAAAGGCGTGTTTGTTTGGCAGTGTTTCTTTTTAAAAAATCTCAGAGCCAAGAAGAACAAGCTGAACTAGCATCTGAAATAGCATTTTCAAAAATGGAGCGTAAACTAAACAGGAGAGAAAAGGAAAAGGAATATGAAGGGAAACACAACAGCCTGGAAGATGCTGATCAAGGAAAGAACTGCAAATCCACACTGATGACCCTCAACGTGGGTGGATATTTATACATTACTCAAAAACAAACACTGACCAAGTACCCAGACACTTTCCTTGAAGGTATAGTAAATGGAAAAATCCTCTGCCCGTTTGATGCTGATGGTCATTATTTCATAGACAGGGATGGGCTCCTCTTCAGGCATGTCCTAAACTTCCTACGAAATGGAGAACTTCTACTGCCAGAAGGGTTTCGAGAAAATCAACTTCTCGCACAAGAAGCAGAATTCTTTCAGCTCAAGGGACTGGCGGAGGAGGTGAAATCCAGGTGGGAGAAGGAGCAGCTAACGCCCAGAGAGACCACTTTCTTGGAAATAACAGACAACCACGATCGCTCCCAAGGACTGAGAATCTTCTGCAATGCTCCTGATTTCATATCAAAAATAAAATCTCGCATCGTCCTGGTGTCCAAAAGCAGGCTGGACGGATTTCCAGAGGAGTTTTCAATATCATCAAACATCATTCAATTCAAATACTTCATTAAGTCTGAAAATGGCACTCGACTTGTACTGAAGGAGGACAACACCTTTGTCTGCACCTTGGAAACTCTTAAGTTTGAGGCTATAATGATGGCCTTAAAGTGTGGCTTCAGACTACTGACCAGCCTGGACTGCTCCAAAGGGTCAATTGTTCACAGCGATGCACTTCATTTTATCAAGTAATTACCTGTGCCACGAACAAAGGCAACAAGCATGCAGCCAGCAAGCTTCGGAAAACCACAGCGTCAAAGGCATCCCAGACAACGTGCCCAGCTAGCTCTGCATTCAGAGCCCTGCTGCTCATCAATTACTGTAAGCTCACGGTATGTAAATTCTGTTGCTCCAGATGTCCTTCTGTAGGGTTTCCTGCTGTTTTTTTTTCACTTTAAACCGAAAACAGTGACCATCTACATACTGTAAATAAAGACTGAATGCTTTTGCTATTTGTTTATTTGTCCTTAAGCTGTTTTTCAATCAGAATGTCTTGGGTGCTTCCACAATAAACAAGCATGTACGTTATCATTCATTTACGTAAGTGGTAATAAAATATTTTAAGGGGCTACAAGATTTAAAATCTTTTCTACTTAATGGCAAAAATCTACAAAGAAACTGAACTGTAAAATTAACCACCGAGAGCAAAATAGATGTTCAGATCTACTAAAACAGTGTAGTGAAACCAAATGAGACTGCAAGGTTTTAAAGCTATTGATTTAATTTTTAAAAGCAGGCACCAAAAGCTCATTCACAGTTTCTGTATTGCATACCAGAATTACAGTTGAATTGATATACTGCTCAACATTCCTAGAAAACTGCTTGATGAAAATAAAAAATAAAAATAAAAGCACTAACAGCTTCTTTGCTTGTATTAATAATATAATAAAAAGTTACATATGTCACTTTTAAAACAAGCAGTACCACTAGATGATTTCACACATTGTTCTGCATTGATGTAGTCAACTAGCAGGATACAGTAACCGTGGCTGGTCTTGCAAGTGACAAAAATCAGCAAATGTGTTTCTTTGCAGGCTGAGCTCCATCACAGTGTGAACAACTTAGTTTTAACAGAGTATGGTATTAGAGTAATACAGGAGTTCGTTTTCAGAAGCACTCTAAATTTTAATCTATTCATTTATCAAGCTCACAAATACTAAATTAGCATCACTAAACATTATTCTTATGAAAGAACTTCATTGATTCTTTTTCAGTACCTCTTCTGATGCTAAATCTGAGACTCATTGAATTGTGTTTAATTTCTTTACTTCATGCGAATCAAGCAGTTATTCTTTAAAATTAAATTTTATATGTGGCTGTCTCAATGAAATAATCTAGAAACTCAGCTTTAAATGTGAGTGTATTTTTTTCCTCCCAATGAACAGCTAATCATTTCTATGCCACTTATTTTCTTTGGATTCTAAGAACAAATTACATCTTAAATTTGCTCCTTCAAAATTTAACCATTAAAACTGGTAACTAAATCTCAATTTTAACAAACTTCAACAAAAGATTTCTGAAAATCTTGACCGACGTTATTATATAAATTACCATATATGCCAAAAGTTGGCTTACACATATAAATTTAGAATTAGCAGCAAAGTTAATATCCTTAGAACTACAACTGACTTCTAGCTACAATATCTAAGGTAATGACGAAAGTTGGCTGTATGTACTAAAAGAAATATTTTAAAATCTGTTATACAAAAAGTCTTTTTAAAATTCACATTAAAAAATACTCCTAATCAACCACACAACTTTCTTTTATATATAACAAGAAAAAACTTTCTACTAAAACATCAAATTTTTCTCTTATGTACTTGAAAATGGTTTAATTGGGATTAAAAGGAACTATGAAAATAGAAAATAATCATAAACTATTTTAGCTGTTACTATAATTGAACTGTTTATATACATATCCAGCTTATGAGCTGACTTTTCCTTGGCATTTGGACTTTGGTAATGAAAATCGTGGTAGTGATTTAATGTCAAAGCAAGATTTCTCTAACAGGATTTCATTACAGATAAAAAACAGCCCTGATGTATCTTTCTTCAAGAGATAAACAAATTTTCTTAGAAGTATAAGTAAGGTTTTTGTATCAATTCACAAAAAGAGAATTTAACTTTAAAACAGATTATTGATGGAAACCACTACTTAAAAAAATCTGTCATGCATTTTATGTCTGTCTCTAAAAAACTGTATCTGGATGCATATAATTCCTCCTCTAGCTCATGACAAATCATGACATGATTTATCAAACAACTTAATAATCTAGAAGTAAATGTGACTACAATACTTACTCTTGTAACTTTTAATAAATGTACCTTTTAAAATGCAAAATTACTTGCACTTGGATTTACGTATTCAAGTGCCTAAATATTGTGTTGTTGCAAGTGTAGAAAAAATACCTACTTTTTAATTTTACTATTTTCTAAAAATATTCATAAACCTCAAGAAATACGAAATGCAATCGTTAAGTCAGAATGAAGCTGTCATAATATTTTTGTCTGCACTCACTGTTCTCCAAAGAAAAAACCACAAAGTGACTTCTTACCTTCTTTTTCAGGAGAAAGGTGAAAAAAGTAGGTTACTATACCTGGCATGAACAAAACGTATATACTCCTGTATTCAGACTGACCCCAACAGTGACTGCAGCACTGTTCTTAAAATGTGAAAAATAAAACATAGCTTCTGGTATGCTGTATTTCTAAAATGTTTATGGCAGCACGCAGAACAAATGAAACACTTATGAGACTTTTCAAATAATATAAGAAAGATAACTACTATCCCAGACTGAAGATAATGACACAGATTAAGCTTGTTGTTATTTTTAAAAAAGAAAATTACTTATATGGCAAATGCTTTCTAAGATGATAATAAAAGATAATATTGTTTTATTTATCATATGCCAGACATGATGGGATGAACATACATAACCTTAAGTAATCCTCATGAGGACCCTAAGAAAGGTACTGTTAGTCTTCCATTTTTACAGATGAAGAAAGAGACTCAGAGGACTAAGAACCCTGCTAAGATCACATGGTTATTAAGAGGTAAAGGTGGAGCCAAGATATGAACCCACGTATTCCAGTTCTAGAGCCGGCAGGAACCGTGTCTGCTTCTGCAGGCCCCTTACATCCCTAACACCTAGAAACTGGCATGAAACAGGCATTCTTGAAGTACGTGCTGAATACAGAATATGAAAATACGGGTTTGCCTCACCTGACAAAATCTCACAATGCAGGTACTCTTACAATGCTTAGTGAAACTAGATTTTTGGATGACACATAATATTTTTAATGTTATGCCATTTGAAGAACATAACGTGAGTCATCTCACAAGAGCAAAGAATATCCCAAATCTGTTTATTAGTTCATCTAGATTTTCACATATCAGGGTAACTGAAAAGGAGGTTAACTTTTTATGACTTGTACAGTCTACCTAACTGATGTACAGTGAAACACACATGGGCTCCAGAGTCAGACTTGGGTTCAAATTCAGTTAACTTCACTAACATGACTGTAAGCAAGATTCTTAACTTCTTTGAACTTAAACAGCCTCACAGTAAAATGGATATAATAATGATTAGTTGATAGAGTTTTTATAAGGCTTCAATTAAATTCTAAATTATATGTAAAGCGTCTCACTCTTCACGGGCTTTCAATGAGCACTGGTTATTATCCAGTGTAAAGGTAGCTTCATGACCTAACCATGAATAATAGGCACAAAAACACACACTGACATTAATTAGACTTTCGACTTAAACATGAACAGAAGAGAGAACTTCTAACTTCCAAATATACAATGGCTACTTCGCCAGCAGACTTATCTTCCTAATCATATTTCGCTTAAGCTAATACTAAAATTAATTTGTTTCTGTGAAGAAACATGCTTAATATTGTAATGAATACTATAAGATATACGAATATACTTTTAATTGCTACAACAAATACGGTTTTCATTTGTATTAAAGTTACATATGATGAGTTTCTTGGGACTTTGATCTAGCTTCATGTACAAAACTACAAGAACAATATAATCATTGTAGCTGTTCCATTAGCAATTTAAAATCAGTACGCTGTAATATATGTGATAACACAATCTTAAAGATAACCATAATAAATGATAAGTGCTTTGACCTGCAATGATGTCAGTCAAGGTTAAAATGAGAGCACCTGAATCACAGGGATTCTTGAAAAGCAGAGATGTAATATGGACTATCTGAAACAGCAGGCAGCTCAGAAGTTATCTGCACTTAGCTTTGATTTGGACAACGGCTACTTCTCTAGCAGACTTGTCTTCCTAATATATTTTGCTTAAGCTAATATTAAAATTAATTTGCTTCTGTGAACAAACACTAAAGGGGTGGTGATAAAGGAAAATGTGCTGGGCAGGGAGAAACATCTAAGATGAAATTTAAAATCTGCCTAAAATAATTTATAAAGAGGTGACGGTATTCTTACTTCTCTTGACAAAAATATACAACAGTTCAAGAGTTTCTATCAAACAAAAATCACTAACATAAATCTTATAAATTGCTTAGAAATGACCTATATTTAATTAAATAGTCCAAAAATGCAAAAAATGTACATTAAGCATTTTGTATATAAAATGTGGAAACTCTAGTTTTATTTAAGTCATTGGTTACCTGAGAAAAAATAATGAATTGGACATTAAAGACTAAGATAATTATAATACATTTCTTTATCATATATCTTTAAAAAATTATTCCTTAGCATAAAATATAAATTCATTGAATGGCACGATATCTTAAATGTCATATAAAAGTTAACCTAATGGCATGACAGGTTTTTCCAAACCCAGATTTCAGAGTATTCGGTGACATTTAAAAGCAAGTTTTAGTAGTTATATGTGCTTTTTAAATGATCAAGTTATTTTCTGAAAATTCCTTTCTGAAGACAAGCCCAATTTTTTAAAAGTAATTTTGATTACTGTCTTCCAGGATATTCAGTACATGTTTTTCTACCCTATTAAAGTGGAAAATTGAGCAAGTCTGATTTCCTAATTCCATCCCCACTGATTTTGCCTCGTTATAATAGATGTTTATTAACTCATTTTTAAGGTTAAGAACTGTTGAATGACACTAACTTTGATATCAATGGTAGCATTTACTTTGGGTACCATACCATTTGATGAATTCTTATTTATACTTATTGTTTAAAAACACATTAAAAATAATATGAATGCAGACACCCATGATGTTACATCCTAGCAAAACTATTTATTTTTGCATATTTTTCCTACCCATGTATAGGTATTTTTAAAGAAACACGTATAGAAAGCAAAAGGAAAGACTACATACAGCTGTATGCAGAAATAATTATTATAAAGGTTGGATGATTCTGGGAGAGAAACACCAAACAAAAGAATCTAAGTCATAGGTGAATGATTTATAAAACGACAAACCAAAAAAGACAACCACAGACCTTCATGGTAAATATATGTCTACTTGTTGCAACAGTCAAAAAATAACATTAGGTTTCAGTATATAAATATTCAGCTACCTTGAAAACTGGAAGCAGGCTTTATTAAAATGTTATTTTGGGTCTACGGCCATGCTACTCTGAACAAGCCCGATCCCTTCTGATCTCAGAAGCCAAGCAGGGTCGGGCCTGGTTAGTACTTGGATGGGAGACCACCGAGGAAGACCAGGTGCTGTAGATGTAAAACATAAAAAAACAAGGGATTGTTACCTGACAAGGTCCTTGCAATCTGTGAGGTCAACCAAGGGTTGTCTCGCCTACCCCGCTGCCGCAAAAAATGTCGTTTTGGTTCCCAGTTTTATTTCCTTCTCCTCTTCTATCTTTTCAAAATTTAGATTATTTGGATAAGCCAATTGTACTTAGTAAAAGGCAAGAAAAGGTGGTTCACCTATATTTCTTCCTACTAAAGAACAAAAAAATTGTATATTGTAAAATTCACTAGGTGATGGGTACACAGAAAAATAACGGAGCTGGATATAAAAATTTAACAGTTAAAACCAAGGTGTTTAGTGAAGCTGAAGGCCATGCATTAAATAAAATCACTCCCATTCTTCACTTTGTATCACACTAAGACTTTAAATGTAACTGAAAAATGTAATAAAACATTT